TTTTGTCAGCCACAGCCAAGACAGGACTTAACTCATTGCTTTACAAGAGTCTTTCCTGCTTAGGGACAAATAAGATTTAAAAGTAGTTATTCATGTCACTGGTGGTTTTCAAGTGTAAAACGAGCAGGCTTCAATTTTTGTAATTAATTGAGTCCCAAGGGGAATACTATGGGTGCATTTTCATCAAGCAAAAGATTTTGCTTTTACAGGGGAAGAGCACTTCATTTGTATGAATATTAAAACATGTTGCCTGGATTTTGAGGTCTAGTAGGAGTCAATGTTTGAATCTCTTGATTATTGAATTAAATTTTCTCAGCAATCTGTTGTTCTTGTATAGAGACTTAAGTCAAATGGTAATTGAAATCCATTGTCTTGAAAATGACTACTGTCTAAAGCAATCACCAAGCTGACTGACCCTCATTTACTTCAGTAAAGTGGATCATAGAAGTAACTAGAGAAGAATGAATGAAACAAAATGCTGTCCATCTTCCCCTCTCAGACAGCCTCAGCTGATGCAGAGCATACACTAAAGCTACAATTATGGAAGAACTACAGGACAAAGTTAGTTTGTCCAGCAGGTAGTGGGGTGAAGCTCCCCATCAGAAGAGTCTGTCAGCTCAATGCCTTCTGTAAAAGGACTTTGTCAACAGGCTGCTCTTGACCAGGGGCCTGTAGTAGGCCCCAGTCACAAAGTTCCCTTTGTTGCCCCAGTCTCGTGCCCACAGGCTCTCAAGCTGCTCGTGAATGTTCTTCCAAGACAACTCTCCGCACTTGATCCCACTTATGATGCAGAGGGTGACCCTTCCACTTCTTCCTCCCCTGTCTACTCTGAGCACTCTTTAGCCTTCAATAATCATGCTCCAGTCACGGGGTTTGTCCCACTGAGCTTCAGTAACAGCAAAAAGGTTGTAGCTTTCTAGCAGCACTGTGGCTTCCAGCTCCTCCAGTTTTTGCCTATGCCTGTGTGTAAAAGGCACCTCAGCTGAATTGTCAGCAAAGAGTTGAAATAAAATGTATCAATTCTTGAGACTAATAGATAGAAGAAATATTGCCATGTAAACAGGGAGAGCCATCAATTAAATAAAGGAAGCAATGCGGAGATAAGAGGAGTGCTAATGTTCTCTGTATAAAAGTGAGCTTTTCAATTGGCATTGATGATTAGGAGTCAAAGTCAGGTAGGACTAAATGGGAAAGGGTAATGTGAAATCAAAGGTGAAAATAGTTTTGTTTATAACAGCTCTCAATTTGAGGGTATCTGGAATAATTATTTGCCTGTCTTGTGTTGCCAAATATGTCAGTTTATTGGGAAAGAAAGCTGTTACTTGGGACAAAAACTGTAAATTAGCAAAACAGAAAGTAAGGTGCAGTTATCATAGATGCCTGGTATAGTGAATCATGCAACTCATGAAGGAATTAAACTCAAAAATTTTAGACATCCACTATTAAATAAAATCTAACATGCTGATAAATGAGTTCTAAAAAACTAATTCCTAAGTTTTTTATGCTGTTTCCTGGGAAACAGGGCTTACGGGAGTGTGCTGTCTGCTTTGGTTATCAGTCATTTCCTCTCCAAGTAACTTTTGATAGCCACTAGAAAATTCACTAGGAAAGAAGTGAAAGGTCAATAATACCTTCAAGTAGGCTTTAAAATCTGTAGCTGGGTGAAGGAGAAACCAAGTTAGTATTCCTGAGATAAGCCAAACATTGACATTATATATTCATTTTGGCAACAGCCAGGTCGACAATCCACACATCCTTCCCAACTGCTGTCACAGCATTACCTTCTCTTGCTCTGCATACTGAATAATATGGGAAGACATTAGAACCTGGGGTGTGCGAGGAAGGGGAAGGAGAGGTGATGCAGGACCTGAACAGTGTACTAGGCTCCACCATTTCCTGTTTCTAATGGTATATTTTTTATAATCTAATTTTCTGACTGCTTTTACCTTAGGATTCCTGAAATGCATTGATTTTATTTCATCTACAAAATTAAACAAGGCCAAGGGATTAAAAGATTTCTGTTTCTTTTTAACGTTGGGTAGATTTGAGAGCTGAACATATGCTTTTATCTTTAATGAAACAACATAATATTAGATTTTTTTTTAGTTTGAATGTTTCCAGAGTATAATTAGCAATACATGAGCATTGCTGTACAACAAAGTCTTCTTTTTGTTTGCTGTTTGCAGATTTATTGCTTATATACTATAAATTTGTTCTGCATGCAGTCTATGAACATTATTTGAACCTTCTTTGTTGTCTCTTATTTTCTTAAAATATTCTTATAGGAATGTAAGAGATCCATCAAGATACTATGTAAAACCAGTGCTCTTTAATAAACCAGCAGGATTTCAAAGATCAGTATTAATATTTATTAAATATATTTTCTGTAATATGTTACTGTGAAATATTTTTATTATAAGGATACATTTAATAAGAATATTTATTAAATAATAATGAATTCACCAGTGGGATTTTTTGGTGCCATTGATACCCATATCTCAAGTACCCTAAGTGTCATCATTACAAAATACAAAATACCAATTTACTTCCCTTAGTAGAGGCTGAGGCTGAAAATTTCGAGGTTCCCTGTTATCTCATCCTCAAAAATTCCAAATAGAAAATGACTGGATAATTCTTGCCAAACCATAAAGGATACAGAAATTTTTGGAAGATACTATTTTAGTTAAATCTCAGCTGCTAGCATTAATAATTGCACAAAAGTATTTCATTGCTTCATTATCCGTCAAAAGTTATATAAGCAAAAAGAGCTCAAACAAGAACAAAATATTCATGTTTTACTGTGATCTTTGGGAAAGATTACCCTAAAAAACTGCTCTGGATTGCCTAGATTGCTTGCTCACCAAAGGCAAATTAGCAAGTATTCTCAATGTTATGCTCTGAAAATGTAGAACTTTAAAATTTGTATCCCTTCTTAATTTATTAAAATAAATAAAAAGGAATGTCAGCTTTACTGAAAAACGTGCTATTTTTTAAGCATTTTTTAAACCTTGAGTTGAAGCGGTTGTACCCTTGGGAACATGGGTGTTGTCACGGCACAACTATCCAGGTGCTGAAAACTTGTTTCTAGTAGATACTGTGGAAGACACTTTCAAAATTGTAATTTCTACTTTATTTTTAGAAAGAGGAGTCATTGTTTTGTTTGGAAGGGCATATATTTCCTGTATATGAGTCTCATTTAAATTCATATATCCTCAAAGCACAGATAGATGCATGCATTACATTATCCCTTCATATCATTTTAATTGTTCAGAAACCTATTTTTATCACATCTTCACTCATATTTCATATTTATAGACTCTTTGGTGTATATGTTGATGAATGATTTTAATTACACAGGCTTCTCAAAGCTGTATGTGTACAATTTATGAATTCTTTTTAATAGGCGGAGTTTACTTTGTATCTCTGCATGCAGATTTGATTCTGAACTTGAGACTTGTGTGTCTTTTCTAGATTTCTTTTGCTACTTGTTTTGGAAGTAGCAGAAGTGCAGCACTTCATGCAGAAGTGAGATGGTTGACAGCAAAGTTTTGTCAAAGTTGGATTGTTCTGACTGTCCATAGGAGTCTCACGTTGGGCACTTCTTCAGCAGGAAGAGGCTGGTAAATAGGCTTTGCATCAACTGCTGATCAGGCAGTCAAGCAAGAACTGTAAAAGTTACCTAATTAATTGTTTTTACAGCAAAATATTTCAGTTAACCTTGCTTTCTACTTAACCTAGCCCAAAATTTGGTCAGTGACAATTTTACAAGAGACAGTGTTGAAAAATCTAGGTAAATGTTTCCCCTAAATAAAATCGTGCTGACTGCTCCCGGAATACCTTTCTGCCTTTCATGTGCTTGGAAACGTTTTCCAACAGGACTCGTCTAATGTAAATTTATAAATGGTAGGCAAGTGTTTTTATTCATATATACGTGTATATAATATATATATGTATAATATATATTTAATATATATATATGCATATGTGTGTGTGTATATATATATATATATGCTTATTTAAACACATGTGAGTTGGCTGGAGCTGTAATCTAGATTGTTAATAGGATGCCGTGATCTGCTTTGAGTGGTTAAGAATCATACTTATTCAAATCATACAAATTTGTGTAAGAGTATCCTTTTTTCCAGTCAAAAATACTCATTTGCAAAGAGTTACTGAGTATCAATGTTGTGGGGGATATGTATTTATATAAAAAATACAAGTTACAGTATGTGTCTTACTTATTTTTCCATTGAAATAATTCCAGTATATTTACATATAGAAAAATTTTGTGTACCTTGTAGAGCAGAATGCTTCATTATATAGCTATTTATTTCAATTTCAATTTAAGGGAACAAAGAAAGCAGTTTATTTTTTTTAGTAGAAGAAACTGTGGCAAAAAATTACTAATATAATTCTCATGTAGGTCTACATCACTTCTCTTGTGGTTCAGGAGTAATGCATTGTTAAAGAACAATATGAAAGTGAATTGTTTGGATTTGAAAATACATACAGATACATAGTGTGTCTTCTAGCAGTTAGCATTTAATCAAGTTTTTTCCCAATAACTATATTGACAGAGCACCCTGGTACAGCTCTCAGGTTATGTGTTTGAACTTCAAAGAATTTGTTAATTTATTTGTCTAGCTGTGAAAAGCAGAAGAACTGTATGTGCAGGGTAGTCACCAATTTGCTATGTGAGGAGATGGGTATGATGACATCTAATGCTGGAAAGTGGTGTCCCGAGGAGTTCACACTTTTGGAGCTGTTTGTTCACATGACAGTTTCCTGTAATGTTAATCTTGTGAGGATGGATGTTGATTTCTCATAGATCCCATATATCAATACGTCAATTATCGATAGAATTTTAAACTCTAAAGTTTCAAATGGGACTTTTCTCTTTAACATTTTAATATGTAAATCCCTTTTCTGCTTGATATTTTGGGATAAAAAATGACTGAGGTGCATTTTGAAAGATTCAATTTACTGTTGTTTCTCTTTAGTTTCAGGCACTGCATTCTGTATCACAAACTCTGGGTTTGCTAGGAAGGAACAACATACTAAGAAATTCTTTAATATCGCTTCTCCTATCGGAAGTCCGTCAGTTTGCTGAGCAGTTGTTGCAAGCTCACCAGGTACTGTCACCTTTTCTTTTCCACAAAGGCTAAAGAGTGGTGTTGTGGAGTGTTTTAACTGTATTTATTTGTTTCTTAAAATGTAAAAAAAGCATCATTCTATAGAATATTAAGATTTAAGAACCCAGAAAATGCTAGGAGGTACCTTAAACAGCAAATTCAAAAAGAGAGGCATAAAGTATGAGAAAATTCCATATGGAAAGGTAAAATTATTATCAGACTGGATAATAAATAGACTGTATGAGTTTTTATCATAGTATATAATTTTCAAAATACTTGAAGTAATGAGTTAGAGACTTAGTGCAATGTATAAATTGTTGACTATGCGGGCAATATAACTTTAGTATTCAGCTGAACATACAATGCAGCTTTGCTATTCTCTCTCTAGCTCATGTAAAACTGGAAAATCAGCTTCTGTATTTTATTTCAGAATTAGATTTCATGTTTCACATTAATTCAATAATTTCAAATTATTAATTTTCATGATGAAAAAGTTATCCAGCACATAATATTGTTATTAGTTTGTTACAATGAGTAGGAAGTAAAGAGCAGAATAGAACTTTTGGTAAAATTTATCTTAAATATTTTTTTCCAGTAAACTGTAGAGGAAAGAGAGGGAGAGAGAATGGATGTTCCTTCAACATTTGGAAAAGAAATATATGAAATAAATAGGGGTTACATAGATTTTTCATGTATTTCTATGCATTGGTATGTATTTTATGCAAAGTGTTCCACTTCACTTGGGATTGCAACTTGATTTTACACTATCCTAAAAGCTTTTTATTTGGTGGAAAATAATGTATTGATACATATCAAAAACATCCACCATAAATTTATTTTGCAGTGGTCTAATTTAACAAAAGGGTTAAGTGTTGCTCAAGCAGTCTTAACTTTATTCTTTTTACTTCTAGGATATGATGTAGTAGAAATTTTGGACTGTTGGAGAGGGAGTATGTAATTCCCAACCCAAATTTCTAGTATGTTTGAATTATATTCTGAAAATGCCATTTCTTGAAAGAATTAGACAATGAGCTGTGTCTTATTTCAGGTCACTGCTAGAATACAAGATTTATTGATGACAATCAAAAGTCAACAGACTTTTAACAATTGTAAGGATATGGAAATGTATAATTTAAAACAATAATTGTTTTTTTTTAAGTTTAAAGCAGCTGTTCATTTTTAACATTTTTAAATCTCACATGTTTAACAGAATTAGCCATCTTTCTTTTCAGAGTTTTGCCAGCGGCAACACAAAAACTTTCAATGCTCCACAGTGATATCAAGCTCATACTGAGCATTGTGCTTTACTGAGTTAGTTACTATGGAACTGCTTAACCTTGCCATACTGTAATTATTTTTGTTGCTTTCATATTTGCTGAAGCCTCAGGAGCTGGGCATCTGTCAATCTGTAGCTGACACTGTAGGATTTTGAAGTGCTGCAGTACATGTAGGAAAAGTAACTGAAGTTCTAGTTTTCTTAGCTTGTGGTGAAGTCAGTGTTTTTAAAGTTCATGCATTCTTGCATTTAGTCCAAATAGATGTATTGTGTTCATTTGCAAACTCTCATATATTCTATATGTGATAATATTCTGGAAATATATCACAATAGGACTTTAATTCTGAGGGCCTGATTTATGGACCTGCTTCCAAATGTTTCCTAATTTGTGTAGCAAGACTTCTGGTAGGTACTATTCTAAAAAGGATTAAAGAATTTTTACTTGTTTTATAATCCAATCTAATAATACAATATCAGTTTGAAATAAACAAAACAACAGCTTTAAAAAAAAACTCTTCATAAATACTTAAATTAGAGTCTGGAGAATGATAATACTTCATATAATCAAACTTCATTAGCTGACAAGTATCCTAATTGTGTTTTGTTTCTTAGGCAAAACCACTGTTAATTGCAAAGAGTATCTCCCATTTAAAACAATCAAATTAGAGATTCTGAATTTTAGTTATGATTAGAGGTGTGGAAATACATGAGGTTTGGTTTGCTTCATTGTTAGTTCAATTGTTGTTGGCAGATAGGAGGAATAAAGAGCTATCTAAGACCTATATCCGGGTTACTTTGCAATTAACTTTTGAACATTTGATGGAAAACAGAAATTGAAAAAAATGTCTTATTCATCCAAGCAAATTTCTGCTTTATTTTTTGTAGTAATATTTTATTTCAATATTGTTGGAATAGAACAACATTCCTTTTAATTTTTCTAAATGAAGCATCTAAAGAGCTCAACATTTCTATTTTAACTTCCTCATTAAGACTTGAGCTAAGTTCCAAATAGTTTGTCAAATTAATGAATTCAAGAATATTCAACTTTATATTTCATCATGTCTTCAGTAGATGGAATGTCAGCTCAACCCCTTGAAGGTTTGTGTATACATACTGGATAAAAAAATATTTTACTTTATAATTCTGACTGGTTTTTAGAGAGTTTGTAACTATGTACTCTTGGAACAAGCTTACCAGTCTATGACCCACAGTTCTAAAGTGCTGTCTGTGCCCCATGCTGTACAAATTAAAAAATTAGGTTGTCCATTGGACAGTGTTTCTACTAAACTACAACAGACAAGTACAGAGATTACTCTGAATATTTTTATATTGTTGTCTAATTGGTTAAATCCTTTAATCTTACAATATGGCAAATTAATGTCAAATGAATCATACCATTTTATATATAGTATTTCCACGTATTAATATGAAAAGTAATAAAGAAGCATGTAAAACAGTATAGTTAACCTGATTTTCTACACAGTTGAGTTTTATGTTACTAAACTCTCAAGTAAGTTAGTAGTTTGCTTTAATTTGTTTAAGTACTTTGTCATGAGCTCAAAATAAAGCACATACTTAAGTGCTTTGCTGACACCAGCATGCTGAATTCTAGACAAAGTCATGTTAATATAAACTCAGTTTGTTCTCTTTATTTTTACAGATGTTGTATATGGGCTTTTGAGTTTTATGTATAATAGGAATCTTTCATGCTTCATAAATACAGTTTATTTATAAGAATACTGTAATTAAACCTTAACTTACTATGAAATAGAAATTTTCTGATCCCCAATTGGATTCCTACTGCAGAACAGACAGAATTGTAAGATACTAAGATTTCAAAATGGAAGATTTTAGATACTGTGGAAGATGGATTATTTTTCAAATGTTGAGCTTCTCTCATGATAGCAGATCTTCCTTTATGGTAACTTTCAAAGACAGAGGCCCAGAAATGGAAAGCACATAGGTTTACTGGGTTGTTTTCCTATAGCTGGGTTCAGCTAGATGATCAAAAGGCTTAAAGTGCTGAGAACTGAGCTATTCATGTCAGAGTTTTCCTCATAAGCCTTTCTCCAGGTATCCATTCTGTATCCAGTGGTTGCTCTGGGCAGGTGTGGTATGCATGCACCTCATGCTTTATTCCAAAGGCAAGTGTGTCTGATATAATGTAGAGAATTCTTCAGACAATCTCCTCTTCCCTAGAAGTTTATTTATGCAGTATGTCTAATATCTTCAAATGTAAGTTTATATACGTGGTAATAAAGGTTTCTTGCGGGTTAGACAAAAAGGCTGTACTATTTTTTCCCAACTATGGTAGAACATGGGTAAAATAGTTAAGAAAAAAATGACTGAGAATATTATGCAGCTAGAGAAGCTGAATATTTTTTGCGGTCTGCTGCTGTTTGAGGTACTAAAATGGTTATCAAGTATATTTGGCTTTTTGTAATTTCTACTGTTTGACTTTTGCTGATACATCAGATTAATAATTAGGTAAGAAAATTTAATAATTAGGTAAGAAAAAAGAGATTGGTGTTATGTAGACCCTATGAAAACAGTTTAACTTGCATCTGGACGTCTGCTCACACTTTTTAAGATGTCATTTCATTCTTTGTTATGTTTGTAAGCAGAGATTTTAGCATATTTCCAATTGTGAAGTGTTAAAGATGCTGCAAAATAGTACGCTGAGTAAATGTAATTTTTAGTAAAAGTAATTTTTAGTCTGTGCAACTGCTGATGCTACTGATAATGAAGGAAATAATGGATGGATAGAATAATTAGTGGATCTGCACTTTTTTCTTATATACCTAGCGTGGAGATACGGATTTGGGAATACGTAAATCTCTTCCCTGAAAGGCAGGAATGAAAGAATCAGTTGAGACTTGGTATATGCCTAAAGAGTGTCATACACCCTGGAAGTGTATACCTGCTTTTGCTGCATATGTCATCCCCTATTACAGATTAGATTTTGAGATACTTGCATGTTGGACAGAGCTGGGAAATGACAAATGGTTCAGGCAGTTTTCTCTTCCCTCTCATATTATCTTGAAATGATAGCATTAAGGAAAAAGGAGTTTAGAAGTGTTCCTACAGAACTAAAAGGTAGCAGGGCTTTGACTACACTTAGGTGCTTGGCAAAATTGAGGATGACATGTAATCAGAAAACCTCAGGTGTGTTTGGGAGCAGAAGCGGCAAATATCAATTACATGAGAAGAACTCTGTCAACTAGGGTATTATTACTCTTAATATTGGTGAATCATGTCATTCATGGAAACATAATGCTGGAAAAGGGAAAAATGCTTAATTAAAGATACCAAAATTCATTATAGCTCAAAAAGTTACTAAGTAATATTTCTGGAAATCTTCTTGTTTCAAACTGTGCACAAACTTAAAACTCAGGCTTAAAAAAAAAAAACAAACTAGAAAATCCCAAAAGCCAAAACCTAACAAAACCAAAAATAATATGATTATAAATCAATTATTGATTATTTGAATTTCTGATGCAGTTAAGCTTTCATTCCACCTTCTTTTTTTAAATGTGGGCCGATGCTGGTTTTACTTCCTTATTCTCAGTGTTAATACCGTCCTCATATTGCTTTCTTTACAGCTCATTTAGTTCTTTTGCATGCCTGAAAGCAGAATAAGAATAAGGACAAGGTGTCAGATTTTAAGGTCATATGTGGTATACCTGCTAGTCTGGAAGACCATTTGAGTTTTACTTAAACCTGT